TTTTAGCTTTCCTTGAAAAAATTATTATAAAGCATAAGTTATTGTATACTCAGCTGTACATGCCAATAATGACAACACTATATTAACAATGTTACCAATTAGAAAAAATGGAAGAAAAAAAAATCAATGGGCAAACTGGGGTTAAAACCTGAGTCTCACTGTTCCTGGGATGAAAAAGGAGCAAAAAGAGATTCTCCAACGGGAAATTTGTTTCCATTTTCCCATTTTTCCCACCTACTCTATAGTTTCTCAAGTTTTTCTACAAAAAAATGGTTCTATATAACCCACTTTTTGCAGGAGCTACGATTTAGGAAAAAGAACTTTTTTCCATCTCCATTTAATAGTTGCATCCCTAGAAAAACCAGCCAATTTCTGCCTTACTATTCTATTCTACTTTTCATGTTTATTTAATATTATATAAACAAAGAGTGGCTCTAGTGTTAAAGGACCCACCTGCCAATGCAGGAGACATAAGAGACTCAGGTTTGATCATTGGGTCTAGAAGATTCCCTGGAGAAGGAAATAGCAACCCTACTCCAGTATTCTTGCCTGGAGAATCCCATGGATAGAGGAGGCTGGGAGGCTACACAGTCCCTGGGTTTGCAAAGAGCTGGAAACAACTGAAGCAACAGCATGATGACAATTCTATTATACTTTTAATATTATAAATGATTTTTAACTATATAGTATTCATTAAATTTAGAGTGACAAATATTGAAATCATCAGAATTACCTTCAAAGAAAATTTCCAAAGCCTTTGTTAGATATATCAATAACAAAGTAGTTTCTTCAGAGGAACACACTCAGTACCCACTCTTTTCTTTTTCTTTTTAGGGAAAATTATTTTATTTTATTTTATTTTTAATTTTTTTAAATTTTTTTAAAATTTTTATTAGTTGGAGGCTAATTACTTTACAATATTGTAGTGGTTTTTGTCATACATTGACATGAATTAGCCATGGATTTACATGTGTTCCCCATCCCGGTCCCCCCTCCCACCTCCCTCTCCACCCGATCCCTCTGGGTCTTCCCAGTGCACAAGGCCCGAGCACTTGTCTCATGCATCCAACCTGGGCTGGTGATCTGTTTCACCCTAGATAATGTACATGTTTAAACAGGTTCCCCCCAAATGTAGGCTTCACATAAATGTGACATTACGCAGTGTGAAAAGTCCAAGCACCTTTACCCAATATGGAAGAAAGCTCCAGTCACTAGGTGGATAGGTTTCTCTACAGCTCAGGCTGGTATTGTGGGTAATGAAGTGACAGAATTCACATTTCATAAGAAAAGTCATATAAAGGAAACAAGATATTATTTTTCTAGAAAGTGATTTACAATAATACTGAGAAACCATTTTTCTAAAATTCCTTCCCCTTCTCAACATTTACAGAAAAGGCTAACAGATCTTGAGAGATTTACTATTTGCTGATATTCATCCATATGGTAGCACCAACCAAAAGCCAGGAGCAGGGGAAGGAAAAGGGAAAAGAAAAGATTTGAAAAAATATAAATGAATCGTTACCTCTACCAACTTGACATCTCTTATTCAGGGGCCAGGACTTAATAAGCCTACCCAGCACTCTCTCTCGATTTTCCTGCTGTCATTGTTTTAACAGATTTGCAAGTTGAGAATGGTTTCACTCATTTCGAGGAACCTCGGAAACACACTGCACTATAAAATATTCACACTACAATGCAAATTGCGTTCCTTCCATCTTATTCACTATTCTGGAAGGTACAGATGGAGTGCCACAGCAAGAACTTAAGCAGAAGTTAAACAGTAAAAATAATACAGAGTTTAAAGCCCTAGTTCTACAAATTGGAGCTGGCTCAGCAAAACATTAGCCATGGCAAGTCCCACCAAGACCGGTTCGGAAAGGTGCAAGAACCAATCCCTGGCTACATCTCAAAGGTTCAAAACCATTTCTAAATATAGGTCTCACTTTATGTTTGCAGGAGCTGTAAATCAGAGAAAACAACTTTTTTCCATCCTCAATAAAATATTTGCACCCAAAGCAAAATCTACTGATTTCTGGCTCTCTACCAGTTCTGCTTGGGCATAAAATTTTCTGACACTTCACCAGAAATGTCAGCAATAGTATAAGGCAGCTTTAAAGAGGGAAATGATTTTCTGACCTGTGGATAACCTCCTCAACGCCAACAGGAAAAGGAATTTTTAAAAACACCTGAAACCTAGTTTTTCCAGTTATTAGTATAAATGGCACAAACTATTTTTCTTAGTGGCCAAATCCTTCCTTATAGGAAGTACTGGTCTTTGAATTCAGTGAGGGGAGGGAGTCATACTATATCCTTGACACCCAGCACAGACCCTTGCATGGAGAAGGATTTTTAATGAACAGTCTAGAAAGGGTGGGGAGGAAAAGAGGAAGGGGGAGAAAAGGAGTATAGAGGGAGGGAAGAGGGAACAAAGGAAGGAGGGATGAAGGGAAGGAGAGAATGAGGTAAGTTCAGAAAGAGATCTCTTCCCTCCCCCTTTTACTTGTGTCTTTATTTTTCTTTAAATTTCAAGCATCCTACTTGATGATAGAAAACCAGTACCACTCATCTTTTCTTATAACTTCCTGCTGAAGCTAGACATGATAGCCAGGGCAGTCAACTCAATCTCCAGAAAAAGCTGGCCAGCAAGTCTGTGCAAGGACCACATAAAGGGTAGAAGTGAGACAAAGCCTTTCTTCAACAGACACAGAGCATGAACTGCCCCCTCCAGTGTGTGGCCCAGCGCCACATCAGCTGGAGACTCCTGCAGGGCCGGAGGAGGCCGCTGTCTACTGGGAGACACAGCGTAATGATCAACTACCCTGATGCAAGCTAGGATATCACACGGGTCAAGGAGAAGGGTTTGCTAGAGCCTTGAGGAGATCAAGACAGGGAGAAACTGCAGCCACCTGAGGCACTCGGGGAGGAGATGAGAGTTCAGGGGGCCCTGCCAGGGCAGGATCTGTGCGCAAGGAACCAGCTCGGGAAAGAGAATGCAGGGAGGACGGGCAGGGAGGGCATGAACCTCAGGTTGAAGGAAAAGGCTGGCTGCATAACAGACAGGAGTCCCCTAAAATGCCTCCTGGGATACAACCTACGGACATGGCATTTGTGAAATCATGGATTAAACACAGTTGCACAAGTTTACTTCCTACCGGCCTCTCACAGTCTTTACTATGCAACTGGAGAAGTGGCAAAAAAAAAAAATTTTTTTTAAGTAAATCTGAAAGGATTCATTTTTGGAGAGGAACCCCAATACCATTGCTTACTAGCTACATTAACTTTAGCAAAATATTTACATTTTATGAACTTCAGTTTCCTTTTCTCTAATATGCAAGAAATGACAGTTGTTATGAGAAGTAAATGCTACTCAAAAATGACTGAGTCAGTACTGGCATGTAGTTAGTGTTCAGTTATTACTGCTGCTGCTATGTCTGTTATTCCTATTACTAATATCAAGGTACATTATGAATATACAAATGAAGAATGCAATACATAGCATTTCTTAAACAGTTTCTTAAAACAGTTTGGTCAGTTTTTCATCAGGTATTCTTTGAAATGCCAGGCCAGCATGTAGTGCCCTGCCTAGCACACAGGAGGTACTTATTCTGTCTTTGTGGAGGTAACGGGTCCAAGAACTGACCCTAGCAAAGAGCAAACTGCAGGATGCTCTGGGCAAGGTGTTTTTCATTATTACTTTGGGCAACAGGCCTCTGAGGTCCAGGTGTAGTGAACTTCATCTTTTGCAAGAAGAAGGAAGAATTGAGAGTAAGGTTTTCAACTCTGGGGAAACATTACAAAGAGTTTATTTTGGTAGAAGTGTTTGAAGAGATTGTAACAATGAGCTCACACCTGCTGCCAGGTGCCAGCCATCAGCTACAGCCTGCTTGTTAGGGAAATGCACAAGGCCCCTCACCAACAGCCCCTCCATCAGACATGTGCAGTGAGAATCCCAGAAAACCCAGTCCAAAAACAGCTATTTCCCCTCCAAGAGGGGATACAGAGTCACAAACAATAAAGCATCTGACCCAGAATCCACAGCAAACTGGAGGCTGGGAAAGGCCAGGAGAGGCCTGCACTTTCTGGTTTGACTTCACTGATTCTCTGCAAGGATTTTAGACTGAATCCCTAAGGATACTTTTCCCAAGAGTTAACCCAAGAGTTAGTGATGTTTTCAAACTTTGGATTGGGAGATAAAGAGCTACAGGGCAGACAACATACTTTTACAGTAAGAAAGATCAGATATTTATAAAATATATATGATAAATGTATACACATATATATGTATATGTACAAACACAAATATGTGGTATCTCAACTGTGCACTATATAAAGAAAGCACAAAGGCCAGAGATCCTGCATTCAATTGTTACATTTCATTTTATTTTAACTGATAAACCTGGAAGGGGTTGGACAAAAAGCAAAGTTAACTCTGGAAACTTGTCAAAGCTCAGAAAATTTCAAGGACTCCACAGACTTGTTTCCAGAAAAGTGGGGCTGCCCAATTCTTCCTACACTAAAAACATGACTACAGACTGTTCACAGTGATTGTTTATTTTCTCCACTGTGTTCATTCTGGCAGGAGGTTAAATGATATTGAAACGATCACAATCTTGTGTTGACCACTGTAATTCTCCCAATTAGAGTTGGCCTGCACATCTTATCAAACCCAATCAGCACACTCTTGTCCAGAGAATCCCTAATACCCACAAACTCTCCAAGCCCTAAACCTGCATCCCATTTTCTGAGAGTCTGAGTTCACATTCATTCGCTACACAAAAGGAAAAGAAAACTAAATACTGCACAATACAGTTCCTGCACATAAAAGACACAGTAGAATACCTATGGACAGCATCTGAAGGCTGGGAACCTGAGGTGTGAGAATGAAAGGGGTTCCTGGTCTCAAGGGTTTAAATATCAACAGGTGCAGATTAGGGGTAGCTAAAGGAAGGCAAAAGGAAAGAAAACAAAAAAGACAGGCAAGGAGAAAAGCTTAAAGTTTCTTAAATGAGCAAATCCAAAACCTGAAGGAAGGGTTTGGACGCCATGGAGCCAAGGCCCTCCTTCTTACTCTCATTACGACGCGTGTTTCTGCACACAGGGGCACCAACAAGTGAATCTACAGTCATTAGGTTTTCATTGAGAGCAGTTCTGTAGGGCCATGCTTTTAATCTCTGTTTAGATCTTTGTTTTGGGAACTACTGAGAACAGGCTTCCTTCACTGTGATGAAGTTAAAGGCAGTTCCTGTAGGACACCCAGTGTGGTACGTGGGAATGGCAGACAGTGGTTTCAGTTTCAAGGACTATGAGCCTCACCACTGTGTTTGGAGCAGGCAGTGGGTGGTGGGTGGGGAGAACTGGTGTGTGGGTAGGAGGCCTAGTTTTGAAATTATTCACTACTGGCTTAGGTGATGAGCAGTGGACAGAATACAGAGGTGCATATCCCGAATACTGGAAAGAAAATAACATAGCTTGTCTTTTCAGAGACAAGCTTTATGATTCTTAATTCAAATCTTTTTTTAAAAGTCCAGGTAGCCCAGATCATACAATAAGCATCTTGTAGCATACTCACTGACTGACTGATAAAGAAATCACTGGATATTATTATGTATCATTGGAAGGAAAAGTTTTGCTGGACTTAAAGAAGAACCAATTACTGACTTGAGCCCCCCTATGTTAGAGAAATCAAACCCGGGATGTATTTTCAAACAAAATGTCCACTTTGCTTCTTAATACTGGTGTGCACACAGTCAACAATGAATCTAGTTTTACATTTGGCTCCACATGCTATGCCCTAGGTAATTAAAGTATATCTTATGGCTAATAAAAATGAAGTTAAAAAGTTTATAACCAAAACAATGACAGGAAATAACATGTGTGTACAATATGTTACTAACACACTGATAATTTTCAAAAGTGACTTTAAAAAAAGTATTATAAATCTTTCAAAATACAGTGATTTATTAAGCAAAAAGTCTGAATGGTTTGCACTATTAAATTTAGCTTTTAAATTGCTGTGTCATGAGCAAATCTTTTGTTCTCCTAGGTTAAATTTAGCATCCTGCATTTGATTCTTCCACTGCTCCACGGTTTATCATCATGTAGCTAATCTTCTGAGCTGCTCAGGAGAAATGCATTTGGGAGCTTTCACAATGATTTCTTTCACTGATTTTATAATCCAGGAAGAGAAAATATCAAATAATCCAATAGTGATCCATTTTCATCATCTTCTTTGCTTTTTCCCACCTATACAGTCTTCTCATAAAGTAAACCTTCCCTAGGCATGGAATGAAATGAAAAAAAAAAAAAAAAAGTGGCTGCCAGAGGAAAACCATTTCAGAAATGTGTTTGTTAAACAAGTGCAAGCAATAAATTAAGCTTAGGAAAGAAAGACGGTTAGAAGAAAAACTGAAAGTACTGACCTGAGAGTCAAGCTGATTGGAGCAAGGGTGAAAGCAGCAATTTGGAGGATAAGCAGAAAGGAAAAAGGATAGCAAAAGAGAATAAAAGGAAGGAAACGCATTAGTTTTAAACATACCGCCAACAGAAGTTACATTAGCAGGTTTCATAACCAAATGAAGGACAAAAAGCAACTTTTATATGATATTACCACCCAAAAGACTGGCACACACTGTAAGCAATTATATTAATTATTACATGTAAGAAACCAGTCTGTCATTCACATAAACTCAAGCACTGATGTGAACCAGAGGTGTATTCCAGCAACCCAATGGCACAATTTGTCCTTTTCTGGAGGAATATTTATAGAAAAAGGTCCTATCTGTGTGTGTGTAAAATTTTATTATTTAATAAACTGAAATGGAAATTACTAAGGTATTAGAAAAGTGGTAAGCGCTTATGTCAGAAAGATTTTACTAAAACCAGTAAGTTGGAAGACTATATCCTATAAGATATTTTTCCTTCATTGTTAAAAACCAAATGGACCTGAGCAATCTGGCTTTCTGTTTAAAGATTCACATTTCAGATGCTCACAGGGTACTGCATCTTGCAAGATCAAAGACTATGAGGACACCTTCAGGTGAGGTGCCACCTGCCTATCAGTCTCCCAAGACAAGACAGATTACCTTCCAAAGCTTAGAGCAATTTTTTCAGTTATGAAAATGAGGATCAGACTTCATCATCGCAAATATCCAGACACTGGATAACTAATGTATAGTTGAATATATAACATGGCCTTCTAATTTGCCAAAACAATAAAGTCTCTTATACAAAGCAACAATTAAAAGAAAAACAAAATTACATCCTCTTCCAGCTACCACAGAAGTCATAGAAGGCATTCAGTTTCTTAACCTATAAAATACCCTTTGCAAAAAATCAAGTGGGTTAACAAACACTTGATTAGCTATCTGCTCAGTGGGACCCCATTATGCCATACAATGAAGAAGTAGTTTGAAGCATTTCACACAGAAAGGAAAAGCAAAACAAATCTTCAGAAGAAATCTTAAACAAAAACATTTCAGATGAAAACAGCATTGACTATAATGATAAAAATCAAGTAGAACATTCTAGATTAAACTCTTGGTGAAAGCATTTAGTCAATGCTTTGTGTCTGAAACTCCCCTGCAGAGTGTTTCATGACAACAAATGTACAACTGATCAAACATAAGAGTTAAGTCAGGCCATGGTCTTTGTAGGCACTCTAGTGATGTTGGCCCCAGCTGCTGTTTCAAATCTTTCTGTTTCAAAGCTTTCAGAGGTATATCAAACTGAGGTCCATGGTCAAGCTTTAGGGAATGGAATCCTAAACTAAAACAACCAGCAAACATTTAAGATTTAGTTGCTTTTTTCAAAGGATCCTAGTTTCCCTTGCTGCCTCAAAGGCATCTGTGATATCCATGATCTTCCCCAAAAGGCTGCTAGGCTAGGGCTAATATAAAACCATCTGCCACTTTTTCTTAAAGAAATTCCTTCAAAAAAAAAGAAAAAGAAATTCCTTCAAATGCATTTACAAACATTAATGGAAATTACTTAGAAAGAAGAGTTTATAGCAAAACAAACAGAACTGGTATCAAGTTTCTTCCATGTACCATGAGACTTCTAGATCATATTATCATAATTAAAAAAAATAAAGCTTAAGTTTACATTTTGTGAAAAGAGTTCTGAAAGGCAGCAAAGAAATTATGTCAGCATGTTATTGAGCAAATTTAGAAGGAAAAATAACAGTCTGTTTCTCAACCTTAGATAAGGTACTTTTAGTCATCTAACATAATTTCTCATCGTCCAAATGTCTGGTAGCATTAGTCCTGATTCAGATAATTAAATGCTATCTTGTTTTCTATTCTAATGTTATGTTTTAGGAGTAAAAATCTCCTGTGAGACCCACTCTCCTCTTCACTGTGGGGAGGGATGTGATCGAGGGCTCAATTTGGGCATTCCTTGCCCTCTGGACAAATACTGACAAAGCCCCTAACATATTTAAGATAATTACATCAAAGGTCGCCTGACTGATTCCTTCCCATAGTGAGATACCAGAAATCCCATGGCAGCAAGCTTTGTTTGACAGACTCTGCCTCTCTCTTTCCCCTAAGGCACTAAAGGATTAATTTAAACTCTAAATAAAACACTTAGAGACCTTGATGGGCAATGACACAGAAAGACTACATATTTCACTGCCTCTAATGAATTAGCTACTTGATTGTGCACATACAAGATACCTATCATTGGTGATCACACAGACTTTGGCCTGATTTGGACCAACTCTCAGGGACTACTCAAAGTCCCCCAGCTACACTGTGTCACTGCACCCAGAGCAGCCTGCAGCTCAAGGCAGAAACTCCTACTGGGCCATCAGCATCAAGTCCAAGAGTTTATGCACAGAACGGCACATAGGGACCACACTGGTGCAATATGCACTTTGAAAAGCAGCAACTTTAATGGCTGTGAAAAACATCATTCACGTGGAATTTCAGAGGTAAATGTATCCATGTATCAGGCATGTGGTATTTAGAATGTTTTATCATGGAGAAAGTAAAAAAAAAAAAAAAACTAGAATATTAACGGAAAAGAAAGCAAACACAAACTGCCCTCTGAGAAAGAAGTGGGCCAGGGTCAGTGTCATTTGAGTTATTCTTAATCCCATACCTTTTGTTGCACATGACTGAAGTTCTGAAGTATTTTAGAATACAAGCTGCTTTTTTAAAAAGGTCTATTTGCTCTGGTAGGTCACATTACAGACCAGAGACCACAGATTTATTTCAAGTTCAATTTCTTGGTTTTCAAAATCACAAACTTAATTGCAAACACTCTTCCATAACTCCAAAATGGAGATATATGTCACATTGCTAAGTAATCTTTAGTTCCCAACATTATAAGGTTTGAATTTTGTAGTTTAAGCCAGCAAATAGAGATACTGCCCAATTTGAAAAGGACCGTCTGACAACTCGAGGAAGATGCCTTGGTCAGAATACACATGTAACCGAGCAGATAATGCGTCAGAAAGGCAGGCCAAGGCTGAGCTCTCCTTTTCCCAAGAAACTTCCCCTCTTGATCCCCACCTCCCCGCCCACCTCCTTCTGGGTCTGGGCTCAGACATTTCCCAGACTATGCTCTGCTTCTGGACGCGAGACACAGGCAGGCAGAGAACTGGGACGGAGTCAAGTCCCACCACACGTTTTATGAATTACAGTGCCTGGGAGGCATCAGCTTTAAGGAGAGGCAAAGGCAGAGATAAAGAAAATGTGCAGAAAGTACATAAAGATAAATGCTTGTAAAATCACTGTTGTTTTAATGCATTCCATATTGAGGAAATAAAAACGTGAATATTCTTGATGATTTAATGGCAATAACGTCCAGCTAAGTAAGACCTGTTTGTCCAACTGGACAATTATGTTATTTCATGCAAATATTTATAGTAGCTGATCCTGATTTTCAACTACAGTTCTGAAGGGCTGGTTTAGTGAAGAAAAATGCCTTCAAAATGTGGGGCACATCACTTTCTCTCCTGAAAGCTAGTAAAGATGAAGCAGATCTCCCATGGGCCAACAGCCATGCCTCTCAGCCAGCTATGTGACTGTTGAGAGCTACTGGACTAGCTTCTTCCTTCTGGCCCATTCTTGGATGGAACTGTTCTCAGTCACTCATCTGTCAGTGCTGAGTTCAAATCCTGACTTTGACTGTTATAACTCCACAACCTTGAGGAAGTCACTTAATTCACAAAATGCTTTCTCATCTATAAAGTAATGACAATGAGACTTCCTGTGTTGTGGGCAGGATTAAATGTTATACAGTATTTGCAGGTCAAGTGCCTAGCACGGTAACTGGTACACTGTGAGCATAAAAATATATATCGCCTATTATGATTATAATTACTATTAGAAATATTATCTAGGGCATCTTCTTTATGGCTCACTTCTCAAAGAAGTGGACTAAGAATCAGGAAACCTATATTATACTTTTCTCTTTTTCTGACCACAGGACCAATCTTTCATTCAGTCTTTCAGAGTCTCAATTTTCTCAGCAATAAGAAAGACATGACCATAACTTCCCTGTGATTTCAAACTATCTTTTTGAGAAAAAGGTTTGGTCCTAAAATATAGTTCCAAAATAGACATCTAGATACATCTAAATTAATAGTATTTTTAATAATCAGTAGGCTGGCAGAATACTTGTGCACTTTGAAATTCAAATGAAGCCCATAGGATTTTAATGTGTACTCTTACCAGAAAAGTAGTCTTGATATAATTTCTAAAATGGGTCATACTGGACAAAAATCAGATTACCATCAAACTAATACTAAGATTTTTAAATGAAAAATGTTTTGGAGTTTTTGTATATTACACATTAAATTTTAAAATGTTGAAATTTTATTAAGAATTAACCCATCCACTTAATTCAGAGCTAGATAACACTGAGAATCTGTTTTAGCATTCAGGTGTTCACAATGATATAACCACCTCACCTTACACCAGGACTTGGTACCTGCAAAATGTGATACATTTTAATAGGTTGTTAGAGATTTACTTCTAAGAAGATTCAAAGTCATAAAGATGGCATGAAGCAGAAGCAAAACCTAAACCCAGCTCTTTCTGTCACTAAAGATCATGATCTGTCTAAATACAAGGTCATAGAGAGCTATTCTGCATATGTCTTGAGGTCCTTTAGGGCCTCACAAGTGTCTTGATCAGAGCTGGCAAACATTCACTGATTTATTCAAAATCTGCTGATCTCTTCCATATGGACTGAATCTAGGAAAGACAAAATTCTGCCTTACTGCTGAACCAATGAGCAATGTTCAGAAGTAATGGAGTTACATAAGGTTATTCAGAAATTCTTTCCTTACATGAAATATAGGAGAAAGCATTGATAGAAAGCTTAATTTTAGAGTTCATACTATACATAAATACAATAGATTTATCTGAAAATATAATTACTCTGGAATCCTGGTATAATCCTCTTTGTTTTTAGACAGAATTTGCTATCAACTCAGCCTGCTGAGACCTTGTTTAAACACATTTATTTACCACATGGCATAAGGTCCTCTTAAAAGGTAAGTTCCAAGATGAATTTGCTGTGGTATGCTATAAGATATCCAAAGGATATGAGCTCCTTTCTATTTCCCCCATCTTCAAAGAACTCCCAACTATAGTCTTCCATATTCTATGCTTAAAACAAACTTAAATGACAAACACTTGTTTTTGATAAGAAAAAACTTGAGGTTTCAGGTAGTCACAGCTTCAGTCTCTTACACACTTGGCTGGCCCAAAGGCTAGATTATGGATATCACTCAAGAAAGTTGATCATTATTTTTGCAAACACTGAAGAAGTATACAAGCCCTCAAAAGAAAACCCAAACAGACACCAGTTGCAAAAAAAAAAAAAAAAAAAAAAGAAAACCCAAACAACTTCTGAGTATCTCACAGAAACACAACATCATCCCTACAAGGCCATGTTCCTCATAAGTAATCTGTTTCTTCCTTAAAATATGAATGTACATTCCAAATTTACCATACCCTGTGATGGACAACTAAGCAACTAATGTTCACTCACTGTTGACAATTTACAACATGACTGCAAAGTTTACCTCTCAAGTTCTGCAATTTTCTTGTCCTTGTCATTCTTTTCATTCTCCACCTCCTTGAGGATCTCCAGCAACCGGTCAACTTCTGCTTGGGCCTTGCCACACTCATCACGGTAGTAAGATGCCTCTTTGTCAAGCTGTTTTATTCGGTCTGCAAATTCTGGGTTCATCCTGGAGTCATCTTCAATATTATGAGCCTTCAACATTATATTTTTAAAGAATGTAGTTAAGATAACAATTTAGAACAATAGACAGTACAGTCACCAATGGCCCAGAAATTAACTTTGGGGGGGGAGAAAACTATCAAGAATTATGGGTATACTGTCAGTTAAAAGACAAACTAGAAAAATCACAAATTTCAGCTATTTTTTAAAAATCTTGATTTTTTAAGGTGGGTTTCTTTTACTGTTGTTATTTTGTTTCATTAAATGATGCTATTTTTTGCTTTTCTTTCCCTTACAAGAAATGGGGGCTCGGTGGAGGTAGAGACAGTACTATGATTATTTCTGGTGTTTTGGCAAGGAACTAAGACAGTTCAACTCCTCACAGTCAAGCAAGTGATTCATACCAACAGCTTCCTTTTCCAATACAGAGCAATTGAGATAAAGCAACATTAAATTATTTCTCCAAGAATCATCGAGGACATGTGTAAAGTCAGGTAACATATAAGAGACTGGATGACTGATCATTGAACATTTCATTCCACTGAGAAATTTCAGCAGAAGATGTAGAATGAAAGAAAGGCTTGAAAATGCAGAAGGCCTTTTCAGCTAACAGTCATACCCATACATTCTTGCTCTTTTGATTAAATTAACCTGAACCGGAAGGAGGATGAGCTAGTTCATGAACAAGCACACAGACAAGAATCCGCAAACACATGCATGAGAGGGGTAATGGTGGAGGGCAGCTTTACACACGAGAACAGACACAGGCAACAACACAGTAACAATACTGCAGAATAATTTGCAGCCAAAGTATTTGTGGTTTCGTGTGTGTGTGTCAGTGTGTTACGGCTTTTTTCTTTTTTTTCCCAAAATAAACTTTTGGCTGAAATATTCCCAGACAGGTGAAAGTAACACTGCACTGCAATGTTTTGCCTACCCCTTGTTTCCCATTATTCCTAATTGACTTCTTCAAAGAGCAGGCAGGGAAAAAACAAGTAGTTTAACAACAGTGCACATTCAACACACAAAGTTCAAAGAGGTCATATTTGTATATATCTCCAAAATCCATGTGTGAAATAATAAAATGTTAACAATTTATTAGGACTTCAATTGTCCTGCTGTCTTCCAGGTAAAACAGATGTCCACTGGATTTTTATACACTTTTTAAAAAAATTTTCAGGGAAAAAACAAGGCAAGCAAGCTACAACTACTGTGGGGTCAAATGAAACATGCATGGTTAGAAAAATTAAGACTAATAGTACTGTTAGAAGGTTGACAGCCTTTGCAATGATTTAGTAGAAAAAAATTCAAAAATTAGTATAAAGAAAAATAAGTCTCTTATTTATGACAAAATAATTATTTAAGGATATTTTTGCATGTAACATATTATTTAAGCATGAGGATAGATGGGGAATAATTTGCTTTCATGTTCTTTAGTCTAAGATTTACTTATTCACAAATTCAACTATGCAGAAGAACTTGGAAAAAATATATCAATTCAACACAGTATCAGACAGCTTTTTTATCCACATTTTTCAGAAAACATTAATTTTTAATTATTTAGTATGTACACTGAGTTTCATTATAATAGAATACAATAGAACTACTGAGTTTTTTTCATTATAATTAAAATAATTTGAAAGAGAATCCTGAGCTAACATGCCTTTACGAGTTTATTCATCTAATAATTTTATTTTTCAATTAAGATGAATATCAAAATCTGTTAATCTCTTATCAAAAATGTAGATACTCATTTTTAAAACAAAATACTTCATATAACTACTTCTATTTGTGATACTACTAATCAACTCATTACTCTTTTAATAGGAAAGCATTTAAAATACACAGTTTTTAGATGATAAGAGAAATAAAAAATATTTTATGTTAATTATCTCTCCTTTAGACTCTGATACCATTACTCTATGGCAGCTAAAAACTTTCCATGGCCGTTTGCTCACACTACTCAACCAGCGACATTCCAAAAGGAATGAACTAAGTAATGACCAGCTACGAGCACTCAAAATAAACGAATAAATGTCTTAATAGCTTATTTCTGATGAGTGAAAATTCCTTTCACAACTCAGATATGAAGATTCACAAAAAACTAGCAGTTAGTTGCTGTGGTTTATTTTGGTTGCTTTTATTCCTAAGATAATTATTATCATGACTTTTAATAGAGGGGTACAGGATTTCTAGTTGTAAGACCTAGATTCTAAATTCAGCTTTGTGTCTTATGACTATGGACAAATGAAATAAGCCTCTCTAAGGACAGTGAAAACTAGAAAATGACAAACATGGGGGAGGTATTATTCATTTGGGGTTTTATTGTGATTATTATTTCATAATATGTATCCCATCAGTGGGGCTTGCTATACGCCAAGTTGATGTTTGTTTAATTTTCCATAGACAAGGTACTACATGCACCTTAGAGAAGCCTCCCTACTAAGTTTTCAGAAAAAGCAGTGTGCTCATGATAGGTATGTGAGTACATTTCTTAATTTAGCTGCTTGAAGAGAAGATGATAAACCCAAGCAAGTTTTCAGCATAGGGAGAAATTAGACAGATTGCTAGTCTTTAAACCTAGCAAGTGAGTGTGGTTAAGGGACTTGTGGAACATTTCAAGGTAAAGACCTAGAAAAAAACAATCTTGAATCTACACTTGTTGATGTCGTGTGATGCCACATCTAGGTCATGTTATTAAAATAAAGACCACAGCCAAGTTTACAGCTGGCCTGCTGTCTGTTATGAATTTGTAGGTGCTAATGGTTCTTTCTTTTAAAAGGAACAGACAACCTGAAGAACACTTTTCAATTAAATACAACTATTTATCTTCATATCAATATCTACTGACTTCTGGGCAAAAGAGGTTATGTCAAAGCACATTTGACATGGGTGCCAGAATTCTTGACAAGGATATTAAATAAAGCTGTAGATAGATGTGATCTGAAAAATATTTAAGTCAATACAAAGCTGTAAGAAAGAGTCATACAGAGATAGAAGGGTGGCAAGCTGATTTGGGGTATTCACTAGGGTGCTTGTGAAAACCCAAGAGAAGACAGTTTCACATGACCTAGAGACTGGCAAGTCCTGATCCAACCTAAGCAGTGGAGGCAGAAGTCTTCCATAGAATTTAACCAGCTGTACTCAGCACGAATCACAACTTTGCAGAGGATGGGCTGAAACTGTTAACTAGTATAGCATGAGTGTCTTATACTGTGATATATATACATGGTGGGGGGGGGGATTAAAGAAAAACATGAGGAAATTGAGTTTAGAAAGTCAGTGCTTGTCCAAAATTATAAGGCCAGAGCCTCCTCTTAAAAAAGAGAGAAGGAAGCACTTTCTTTGCATTTAGGGAGTACTCTTGCCTTTTCAAATTAAAACATGGGTTTTTTTTTTTAATCTGGACAGGAAGCTTCTGATGCGGGTCAAAAGTAGATAAGATGTTTGGGCCTAATGTACTTTAGGCACTGCAAAAATATAATATATTTGAATAAATCATTACCTGGACAATCCCTACCATGGCATTCTGACCCATTCAAGGTTTAGGCTGAAAAATACACAGGAAGTACCTCTTCTTACGAATCTGCTGGTTTTAAATTAGTTCCCTCAAAAGGTCAGGAAGCAATTGTTAGCTCCTTTCATCTAAGACACAGCTTCATTCACTAGTCAGGAATCTAGCTCTTGAAAAATGCAGATTGCTGTGGATTTTCTTTTAATGGTTTCAGAACATACTATCATAAATATAATTAACCACATTATCACTTTCAAAGACATACAACAGTCATTAAAACCAAAGGAATACTGGTGAGCATATTTTTTTCCTAATTAGAGATTTACCTTTTTCCAATTAAACAGGTCAGTTTAAAAAGCAAATCCAGGTATCTGGTTCTGCTTCAAAATATCTCTGGTAACTTTTAGAGCAACTTTCAAACATCTTATAGAAACCAAAAATTGAGAAAGGAACATTTCAAAAATGTCTGTATTACAAATTAGGGAAGTAAAATTTGAGGGTCCCCCAATTATGTTTCTTCCGTTTCCATATGTAAGGAAATTTGTCACAAATGGGAACAATCAAAACAAAGTTTGGAGCCTCACAGATGTGGGCAAGCTTGGTATGTTGATATGAACTGGTTTTGAAAGTCTGAATCAAGCACAAAAGAGAAATTTGGTCATGACTCAGGAGAAGGAGTATATAACAATACCTAGTGGTTATTTTAATGAAAGAATTTAGAACTATTTCAGGAAATAAGGCAAAATTTCAGATTAATACTATATCCAAATCAAAATTAAAAGCAAACATGCCTAAAATGATACCAGGATTGATAGTACTAATATGACAAAACACAAGTTTATTAACACTACTCTTGTGAAAGCTAGCCATTGATTATTTTCAATAAAATGTTAGTTCATCATTCCAAGTGCCTAGAAAGGAAAGTATTAATTTTAGTCCAGAAGCCTGCTGTGAAACTAGGCAGGGGATATTCAATGATAATGTTAAATAACTTTCTCTCTTTGACATGGGCCTTAACAATTTTAATAAAAATCATTTTTCTCAAACAAATGATTAGTCATGACTATAAAGTATAAGCAGAACACTAACTAATGAATCTGAGGACTCTTCTTTCATGCTGCTTATTGTTTTAGCAATACTTCGTTAAATTTATGCACTGTAAAAATATGATTCTCTATTACAGATCTTTGGGGGTTTAGTGTCTATTAACAACACCTTCATATCTTAACAGAAGAACAAGGTATATAAACTACTCTAAATGTTATATTTTATTTCAGTCTTCTAAAGGAAGTTCCAATCATCACATAATTTCGAGTTATGAACAAAATATTACTTTTTAGAACAGAGTTTTTAGGGTGATTATAGAACTCTAAAATATTGTAAAATTTAAATTTTATTTTAAATCTAATTAATTAATACCAAATATAATAGCTGAGTCTAAAAAATACATCTGGAAACTAATAATGATATATCTTTAAGTCTTACATTACTTAGCACTAAAGGAAATTATTCTTGCACA